CCGGCCTACTAGTGGGTTTCAAATAATGTACATAAAATACAAATATTGGCATAATAAATATTTTACCTGCTAAAAACTGTGCACTTTGAAGATTAAAGCCACTTTGAAAATCTAGCCAGTTGAAAATATTAGAATTACATCATTAAATGTCAAGAATCGATAATGCAGTTGAATACAAATCAAATCACTCTTAAGCCTTAGAAAAATCCCAAGACTAACAGAAACACAAAATGTTAAGTAAGTTAGGCATGGTGTGGCACACCTGTAGTACTTGCTACTTAGGAGACTGAGATGCTAGGATCACTTCAGCCCAGGAGTTGTAGTCCAACCTAGACAACATAGCAAGAACCCCCAACCCCTGGCCAGGCGCGGTGGCTCAAGCCTGTAATCCCAGCACTTTGGGAGGCCGAGACGGGTGGATCACGAGGTCAGGAGATCGAGACCATCCTGGCTAACACGGTGAAACCCGTCTCTACTAAAACTACAAAAAACTAGCCGGGCGAGGTGGCGGGCGCCTGTAGTCCCAGCTACTTGGGAGGCTGAGGCAGGAGAATGGCGTAAACCCGGGAGGCGGAGCCTGCTGTGAGCTGAGATCCGGCCACTGCACTCCAGCCTGGGCGACAGAGCGAGACTCCGTCCAAAAAAAAAAAAAAAAAACCCCCAACCCCCCCATAAAAAAAAAAAAAAAAAACTAAACTAAATTACGGTTTCCTTTAAGGTTGAAACATCATTGCAAGTAAGTGTATTAAGAAAAAGCCTTTGTGCTTCAGTTTTCCAATGGCTGCAAAATAAAAATAAAGTTTTCTCATGCACCCACCTCCAAGGTTTTAACACTATCTGAAACACCAACAAAACAAAAACAATTCTGCAAATGTGAAGTGCTAAAGTTAGGGTCAAAACCTCAAATGCCTAGATATAAAAGTCATCCAGTTAGGGAATGAGTCAAAATGGAGAGAATTATGCTCTATCAACAGCCCTAATTCCAACACAGGTAAGAGATGTCCTTAAAGGGAAACCAGAAATTTGTACTTCTATATTAAATCTTTTGCTTCTTTTGTTGTCAAATAATTCAATCAAAACCTACAAACACGGAAATTAAAAACACTAAATTATGGTGTATATGGTGGCTCACAGGGTGGGCACATCGCTTTGAGCCCAGAAGTTTGAGACCGGCCTGGGCAACATGGGGAAACCTCATCTCTACCAAAAATACAAAATAATTAGAGGGGCTTGGTAGCCAGTGCCTGTGGTCCCCGTCTCAAAAAAAAAAAAAAAAAAAGTGCCGTCTATTTTAATTGCCTCATATACTTAGGCAATTAACAAATGAAGGCCAGATGTGGTAGCTCACACCTATAATCCCAGTGCTTTGAGAAGTCAAGGTAGGAGATTGCTAGAGCCCAGGAGTTCAAAACCAGCCTGGACAACACAGCAAGACATCATCTCTTTAAAATAAAATAAACAAACAGATCAATACTCTCAAAACACACTGAATAAGAATACAGTAAAAGGTAGAAAGTAGTCTAAACAGTGAACAATAGGCCGGGCGCGGTGGCTCACGCGTGTAATCCCAGCACTTTGGGAGGCCGAGGCAAGGGAATCACCTGAGGTCAGGAGTTCAAGACCAGCCTGGCCAAGATGGAGAAACCCCATCTCTAATAAAAATACAAAATTAGCCGGGCGTAGTGGTGCATGCATGCCTGTAAACCCAGCTACTCAGGAGGCTGAAGTAGGAGAATCGCTTGAACCCGGGAGGCAGAGGTTGCGGTGAGCCGAGATCCTGCCATTGCACTCCAGTCTGGGCAACAAGAGTGAAACTGTCTCAAGAAAAAAGTGAACAGTAAGTGTAAAAACTCAAAGAAGCCATACAATTACCAACACAACCTTTTTTCCTGATTCCTGAGCAACATTATTTCCCATTCCTTGGTATCTCTCAGTAATACCTAGGATGTGATTCCTTATGAAGGTATCGCCATCCATAAGGAATTACTGAGAGATACCAAGAAACCTATCAGAGAAAAGACGAGCCTTAGGCTTCAGCCAGTCAAGCTAAAGCAAACACCACAGAAACCAAATACATAAATCAACTATTTAATCAGACAACTTTTACTAACCAGTGACGAAGTATTAATTTTAAAATACCTTTCCAGCATTAACTGCCTGTCCTCTCAAGTTCCTATATCTCAATTATTTTCCTAAGGTGTCCCACCTTTGAGCCACTGCTAATATTTTTTCCTCCACCTTAAGGGTACTTACCTTCCCCTCCCATCTTCATCTGCTTACATCCAGTCCTCTTTCTTGTCTCAACTCTACTACCTATTGTGTGTTAATTAGAAAAATCCTCCGCCAGCCTGGTGCGTGTAATCCCAGCACTTTGGGAGGCCTAGGCAGGTGGATCACCTGAGGTCGGCAGTTTGAGACCAGCCTGACCAACTTGGAGAATACCTGTTCTCTACTAAAAATACAAAATTAGCCAGGCGTGCTGGCGCATGCCTGTAATCCCGGCTACTAGGGAGGCTGAGGCAAGAGAATCTCTTGAACCCGGGAGGCGGAGGTTGCGGTGAGCCGAGATTACTAGATTGCACTCCACCCTCGGAAACAAGAGCGAAACTCCGTCTCAAAAAAAAAAAAAAAGAAAAGAAAAGAAAAATCCTAGAAAGATCGTCAGAGCTGTCTGTCACGAATAAGATTAACAGATAGATAAAACTTTAAAAGATGTTTTTAAAAAGAAAATCCTACAAAGATCACTTACGAAGTCTAACACCAGCATTTAAAAAGTGCGTCTTTCTGGCCAGCACAGTGGATCACACCTGTAATCCCAGCATTTTGGGAGGCTGAGGCAGGAGGATAACCTGAGGTCAGGAGTTTGAGACCTACCTGGCCAACATGGCGAAACCCTCCCCACCCCCCAAAAAAAATACAAAAATAAGCTGGTCGTGGTGGCGCATGCCTGTAATCCCAGCTACTTGGGAGGCTGAAGCAGGAGAATTGCTTGAACCTGGGAAGTGGAGGTTGCTGTGAGCTGAGATCGCACCACTGCACTTCAGCCTGGGAGACAGAGCAAGCCTCCATCTAAACAAACAAACAAACAAAAAAAAAGTGCCTCTTTCTGTCACTAAGAAAACTATTGTTCAGTGTCATAGGTTACTAATCAAACATTACTATTTAGTCACAACTCACACATCCAGCAAGTTTACCCTGAAAATGCAAAGATGATGCTCAAAAGTGATAAAATTCCACCCATAAGTAACCATTTGTTTTACAAAACATCTGAATTTACAAAATAATTTTCTTAGCATTATCAGCCTCAGCAAATATATCTTCATTAAAGTCAAGCCCATCACAACAAATGAAACACTTTTATAAAAGAAAGAGAAAGAAGAGAGAAAGGAGAAAAGGAAAAAAAAAGAACTTGGCCCAGCATGGTGCCTCACTCCTGTAATCCCAGCACTTCGGGAGGCCCAGGAAGGAAGATCGCTTGAGCCCAGGAGTTCCAGACCAGCTTAGGCAACCTAAGAAGACCCCGTCTCAAAAGAAAAAGCAAGAAAGAGCAAGAAAGCAAAACCCCGGGGAAGATATTAAATAATCTTCATAGAGCAATTAAACGCTAAAACTTCCTATCAGATTCATTAACAGTGTTTAAGAAAAAGACAAAATGTTCTCATGTACAAATTGAACTGCCTATCGGATTATTTTAAGATGTAAAAGTTCTCCAGTAATTTCCAGGAAAGTAGGACTCCTATTTGGTTTAGAAACGCTCAATATACTAACAAAACAGGAACATCAGGCACCGGCTCTATTCTTAAAGGCAACATTTTCTAATAGATTACACTCACATTTGTGGTAATTGTAAACTCCACTAACAACTAACAAGCTGCAAATCAATAGATAACAACACACTCTGGGAGGCTGAGGAGGGCAGATCACTTGAGGCCAGCAGTTTGAGACTAGCCTGGCCAACACAGCGAGACCACTATCTCAACTAAAACTACAAAAAATTAACTGGGCGTGGTAGCGCGCGCCGGTAGTCCCAGCTACTCCGTAGGCAGAAGCAACTGAATCGCTTGAACTCGGGAAGCGGAGGTTGCAGTGAACTGAGATCGCGCAACTGCACTCCAGCCTGAGCGACAAGGCGAGACTGTCTCCAAAAAAAAAAAAAGCAACAACAACAAATGAAAAAGAAACATAAAGAGCCTTAAGATGTCCCCACCCAAGAGCTCAATTGCACATAAACGGAGGCTGCACATGACATGCATTCAAGACACAATGCTAAGAGTTTGCTTGATACAAAGCTGTAAAAGACAGGATCCCAGCTGATACCACCCAGCAAACTTATTCTAGCTTTCAGGGAAACTCAGATGAAATGCGTCTTTGTGAAGTCCCTACTCTAAACTCTCGATTAAACCTGAGCACACTTTGAATGCGACAGTCCGCTCCCTCTTAATCCTTAGAAAGCATTTCCTGCCTGGAAAACCTTTCTCCTGCAAGCCTTCTACAAACTTTTTCCGTTCTTTCAACCTACTCCACGAAGCCTTAGGCCCGCCCCTCACCTCCCGCCCCCTACCCACACACACACACCCCTCCCCACTAGGGAACCTCAACACTCTGCAGACGCCACTCCACAAGGGCACGCAAAACACATGTGCCTGCAAACCCAGCCCCTTTCCACACCCCCCGGAAACGACACCCCCTTTCTCACACTCCGCACGCCACAGCCCATCCCCCTTCCTCCCCGCCCCCACTCACATCACCCCAGTCCTCCCACCCACGTTCCCGGGAACCCAACCTCCCCTCGCTCCCCGGCCTGCCGAAGGCAGTGGGGAGGGGAAGCAGGAAGAAGGAAGCAGGGCTCAGGCCCGGCCTAGGCCTCTCAGACCGCCTTGGGAGGTGAGGGAGGGAGCCCGCGGGCCGGGCTCAGCTCCCGTCGGCAGCAGGGCCTCACCCGGACTCAGGCCTGCCCTCCGCTGCCGCGGCGCGGCGCGCCCCGCCTGGACCACACTCACTTGCCAACCGCGGTCCATCGAGTCCCCCGCTGCTGCCTCCTCCGCCGGCTGCGGCTCCTGTCCCCGGGTCCCCCAGGTCCGGCTTCTTGGGCCCGGGGGGCGGCCCAGCTCCCCCGCCCGGGACGGCTCCGGGCGGAAAGCCGGCCACGGGTGCACCAGCCAGAGCCAGGGGGACGCTGTTGCTATGGAGGCCGAGGCCCGGGGCAGCCCCGGCGGCTGGGTCCTCATGCAGGAACTGACACTCCTCCCCGTAGAAGCAAGTCTTATCCTTAGCGTAGTAGCGGCAGTACTTTAGCTTCACTCCTACCGCTGCCCCGCCGGGGACACCCCCGACCCCCGGCGGGGCCACCACCGCCACCGCCGCCGCCAGCGAGGAGGAGGAAGGGGAGGCGGCGGCCGAGGGGGGCGGGAGGCCGCCGCCACTGTTCATGGCAACGCCGCAGCCTCGTCTTCCGCCGCCGCCCGAGGAGCCGCCGCCGCCGCCACCATAGACGGGGGAGGAAAGGAAGACGCTGCCGGTGCCGGATAAAAGCCTGGGCGGGTGGGTCTGTCCCGCTGCGGGAGCCGGAGCCGCCCGGGGAGAGGGGGGAGGGGAGAGGGGAGGGAGGAGGGGGTAGAAGGAGGGAGGGTAGGGGGAGAGTTGGGATTCTCTCTCACTCACTCTCTCGTTCTCTTTTCTTAAAGGGGCCGCGCGGGACGACGGGGTGGGCGCGCGGCCCAGACGGGGACTTCGAGGGCGCGGGCAGGGGAAGAGGGAGCGGCAGCGGCAAGCGGGTGGGGAGGGCGGAGGGGCCGGTTTATTTTTAAATTCTGCCTCCACTCGCTCTCTCGCGCTCTGGTTCCTCCGAGTTGTTTATTCCATTTTCCTCTTCCTGAGACGGCCGTCGCCGCTGCGCGTGCGCGCCGAGACGCGAGGGCTTGTGGGTAGCGGGAGCGCGAGGGGAAGCCTGGCCGGCGTCGGGCCCCCGGGGGCATCCGCGAGCTGGCGGCGGTTGGACCGGCGGGCCTCGATGGCGTTCCGGACGCGGAGCGGGCGCCGACACGAGACCTGATACCTTCCTTATTCGTATATTATCTTACTTAAAAAGCCAGATGTCACTTTTTTTCATTGGAAAGAGAAAATTGACAACGTAAACGGTCGTTTGGAGGGGCCACCTGGGGACGCGGCCGAGCCCTGGCTCTACCTGAAGAATATTTTCTGTTTGCCACACTTCCTCTCCCCGTTTCCTTTCGTCGCCCCCTCTCCTCTTTTCCCTTCCCCTCGAAGGTAATGAGAACTACTGGACCGATCACGCTAACCTCTTGGCCCTTTGTCAAAATATAGAGCCAAAAAGGTTGATTTAGACAGACCCCCTGCTCAGTGCAGCACCTGTTATTCTCTGTATTTATATTACCAAGGGCCTTCGGTAAATTATGAAAAATAGGATGCCACCTGGGACGACACTGCTCAGGCAGCACCGGAAGACTTTCATAAATATACTAGGTTGCTTTTCTCCAATCAGCCTAACCTTGATTTGAAATTCATTTTTAAAAGATAGTTTTAACCTCAGCGATCTCTGATGTTTGCGCTAATTCCCTTTAAAAGGCTTTCAGAAATTTTAAAGAATTACTATGAAGGGAAAAGTAACATTCTAGTTTTTCTCTGTAAAAGAGGTTCGCAAACGGCAGATCGCTGTCATGAAAAGGAGAGGTGGAAGTATTTAAGGAATTGTGGCAAACAGACAACAGAAGAATGGATGTAAGCAAAAGTACCACACTGAAAAAATGGGGAAAGGTGGAGTCTAGATCACAAACTGGTAAGCTTGGTGATATTCTGTAGCCAAATTCGAAGATAATAACATTGTATTATGGCTTTCTGTTTAAAAGCAGTTTCGCTTATTTGATTATTCAACAAATCTTTATTAACACCCATTACGTGTACTAGGAATTGTGGTACACGTAACTGTGGAGCTGGGGAAGCAAAAGGGAACATGCCTTACGTGAGTTCAGGTGGCTTATCTTCCGGTTGGGGAGGCATCAAGTACACAGGTCCATTGTAAACCAATGTTTTAAGTGCTAACCTTATCGCATTTGCTATTAGAGGATATTAAACATGTTAGACTTCTTGGAGAAAGTTGATATTTTGATGTTCCAAGTTTGGGAACATCATTGGATTCAGACAGATCTGGACTGAAACAGATTTAAAGTGGCTACACTTCAATAGCTGTGTTCCTCTCAGTAAATTGCTTCATTTCTCTGTGCCTTACCTGTACACCTGGAATAAGAATAGTACCTACTTCATAAAGTATAAACTAATAATGTATATAAACTGTCCCATGCCCAATAAGAATCCTGTAGGTTGTAGCTATCACTAATAGTGTTGGCCAGGTGCAGTGGCTCACGCCTGTAATCCCAGCACTTTGGGAGGTCAAGGCAGGTGGATCACCTGAGATCAGGAGTTCGAGACCAGCCTGGCCAACTTGGTGAAACATGGTCTCTACTAAAAATACAAAAAAATTAGCTGGGCATGGTGGCAGGCACCTGTGATCCCAGCTACTGGGGAGGCTGAGACAGAAGAATCGCTTGAACCCAGGAGGTGGAGGTTGCAGTGAGATCGCACCGCTGCACTCCAGCCTGGGCCACAGAGCAAGACTCTATCTCAAAAAAAAAAAAAAAAAACTTGAGGACAATTGGAAATTATTACAGGGTTTTTAAAAGTCAACATGGCAGGGCACAGTGGCTCACACCCGTAACCTCACTGCTTTGGAAGGAAGCCAAGGCAAGAGGATCACTTGAGACCTGGAGTTGAAGACCCTCTTGAGAAACCTAGCTCTACAAGACCCTGTCTCTACAAAACAATTTAAAAATTAGCCAGGTGTAGAGGTACTTGCCTGTAGTCCTAGCTACTGGGGAGGCTGAGGCAGAGAGGATCGTTTGGGCTAAGAGTTCCAGGATGCAGTGAGCTATGAAGGCGCCATTTCATGCCAGCCTGCACAGCAGTGAGACCCTCTCAGTCAATAAATAAAAAATAAACTTATTTGCCACACATTTCGTATCTCCACACTTTTTTAGGAGACAACTACTTACTTCTATAGTAGGGCTGTCTTTTTAATCTGGGTTCGTTGTTGAGTATTTACTAAAAATAAATGCGTAGTCAACTCTAAGTCATTTTCATGTTAATGAAGATGACATCCAAAACTGCAAATAATTCATAAATTATACATAAAATACATATATTTGACCTCCTGCAGCATTTCCCCAGCAACAGAGACTACATTGCTAAAGGGTAATGTTAATTTCTATTAAATACTAATAATTGAGTCCAAGCGCAGTGGCTCACACCTGTAATCCTAGCACTTTGGGAGGCAGAAGTGGGTGGATCACTTGAGGTCAGGAGTTTGAGACCAGCCTGACCAACATGGTGAAACCCTGTCTGTACCAAAAATACAGAAAATTAGCTGGGCGTAGTGGCAGGCACCTGTAATCCCAGCTTCTCAGGAGGCTGAGGCAGGAGAATTGCTTGAACCTGGGAGGCGGAGGTTGCAGTGAGCCAAGACTGCACCATTGCACTCCAGCCTGGGCAACAGAGTGAGACTCCATCTCAAAAATAATAATAATAACAATTAAGAGGAAAACTTCACATTTTCTGAATGGTTAATTATTATATCAGTGATAACAGCCTGAGTCTTAAAAATTATCCCTTAGGGACAAGCATGTGGCTCACACTTATAATCCTAACACTTTAGGAGGCCAAGGCAGGAGAATCACTTGGCTCAGAAGTTCTGAGACCAGCCTAGGCAACATAGGGAAACACTGTCTCTACAGAAAAAAATTAGCTAGGCCTGGTGGCATTTTCCTGTGGTCGCAGCTACTTGGGAGGCTTAGGTGGGAGGATTGCTTGGGCCAGGAGGTCGAGGCTGCAGTGACAGCCTAGGTGACAGCAACCCTGGTGTCACCTGGTAAAAAAAAAGGTGACCCTGTATCAAAAAAATTAAAATTATCCCTTAAGATAGAGTGGAACCTGCATGTGGATAAATGAGAGTTGACTGTTTTTGAGTCCTAGAAATGAAATTTGCTGCATATGTATAAATACTTTTCTTACATATTTGTCAAGTATGTTCCTTATGCACTAAGCTCTATTCTATAATTTTATACAAAGTTACTAGCAACTGCTTAATTTAATCTTGTTGACAAATTTTGGGTGCACTAGAAGCAAAAACCTTCCTGTTTGTGGCAGTGATAAATAACATAAATGAAAGATTTTTTGGCCAGGCGCAGTGACCCACGCCTGTAATCCCAGCACTTTGGGAGTCCAGGGCAGGCAAATCACTTGGGCCAGGGTTCCAGACCAGCCAGGACAACATGGTGAAACCCCATCTCTACTAAAAATACAAAAATTAGCCAGGCGTGGTGGTGCAAGTGCCTATAATCCCAGCTACTTGGGAGGCTGAGGCACGAGAATCACTTGAACCTGGGAGGCGGAGGTTGCAGTGAGCTAAGATCACGCTACTGCACTCCAGCCTGGGTGACAGAGCAAGACTCCATCTCAAAAAATAAAAATAAAAAGAATTAATAAAATATTTTTTTAATGTATCTGTGACCCTCTATAGAAGTCTTTCATCATTGTTATCATACATACTGATATATACTACATAGGTTTTTTAGTGTTTATGGCAGTAAAAGCAATTTGTTACCTTTCTGTACAAGTTTTCAAAGGATTTCAGGATGCCCATACTTATTATATTCTTGTGAAATACATTAAAGGCAAATATGATTTTGAAATTAATTGTATCTTGGAAATAGCCCTGACAATCAAGTGTATCATGGTATCATCCCATACAACTACCACCAGCCGTATAGAAGTACCTTTTACGTAGCAAAGCTCACTATTACCATGTCTGTTGGTTAAGCACCCCCTGCTCCGGAAATTATTTGTATGTGAAATATGCCTGTTATAATTTTAAATCAGATAATTCTGTGTTAATAATTGATTTTACTATTTCAAAGATTATGTGTTTATTTCAGTTCAGATTTTCTAATTTATACTCTGATGAAAGACTTTAAATCACGAGACTTGCTGAAAAATATATGTATTAAAGCAAGAATTTTTTTTCTTAATCTTTACAACTTTTCTGTAAAAAGCAAGAATCTTAGTAAGATATACTATTAATAAAATGAAACTCCCAAAATTAAAAAAAAAAATTGTCTTTTACAGTCTGTTAACCCTTTCACATGACCTATTATAGAGCAATAATATAAGTACTAAAATTTATTCTATTTTATTTTATTTTGAGACAGAGTCATGGTCTGTCATCCAGGCTGGACTGCAGTCGCATGATCATGGCTCACTGCAGCCTCAACCTCTCAGGCTCAAGTGATCGTCCCACCTCGACCTCTCAAGTAGCTGGGACTACGGGCATGTGCCACCAGTCCTGGCAAATTTTTTATTTTTTGAAGAGACAGGGTCCCACTGTGTTGCCCAGGCTGGTCTTGAACTCAAGCAATCCTCCCACCTCAGCCTCCCAAAAGCTGGGATTACAGCTGTGAGCCATCGCAACCGGCCTTATTTTTTATTTATATTTATATTTATTTGAGAGACA